TACAGAACTCGACGAAGATGCGATGTTTGACGCCGGCTTTGAGTGGCACGCGGCCTTTTTCTTCCGTGGAACCGCTGCCGAAGAAGGATTGGCCACGGCGTTGGCGTGTCCAGTTGTCAATGACGAGTTGACCATCGACAAAGAGCTACAAATGTCAATGTTCAGTGAGATAACAGCAACGTGGATATGGTAGCGCACCCTAGCCCTTCCAGCAACAGTCAAGCCGAACTCGAACAAACAATCATGTTCGCGGGGCTTCAGCTCACCCTCGAGTCTCATCGTCCAACGTCTCGTGATGCCCTTGGGTGCCGATGTACTGATGAATATCCTCGTCTCGTCAACCAGACGCGTCGAGTAGGGCGTGTTGACTGCAGACATGCTCTCGTCGTCTTCATGCGCGTACCACGTAGCAGTCCAGCCCCGCTTGCCTGAGGGCGTGAAGAGCTCGTAGTCGAGTGTGGGCATCTCCATGTAGGCTAACGGAATGAACAATAAATATACAGCTCTCCTTATGTGAATGACAAAACCACGTACTGCTAGCGCCCTCGCTGTAGAGAACCTCCACGCCTTTGGGAAGCGCAGCGGTAACACCATCATGCGGGGTCACGAAGTACGATGGCTTGAGTGCGGCGGATCCTCCTCCAGAAAGTACGATAGCTTTTGCGTTCCCTCCGACAATAGCAATCTTTTTGATCTTGTTGGGGTTCAGAGGGAGGAGGGCGTTAGTGTTTTTGAGCAGTACGATGGATTCTCCTGCGACCTTGCGCATGAGAGCTGTGTCTTCGGCACTTTCGACGGTACGTTCTATACCATCTCCATCGAGGATCTACGAGTGTTTATCATCAATAAAGAGCATGCAACGGATTAGGAATGTACGCACTTCCGGTGCTTCTTGAGCGACGCGCTTGGCAAGCTCGACAACTTTGCGCGCGCGCTCTTTTACGGTCCTCACGGTCAATTTCCTTGAGCCAATAGACCTGTTCATGAGATCAAGGGTGCGCCACTTGTTGGTACCTGGCATCTCGAGGTCGAGGCCAGCATTGATACTCAAGTCTATGCTGTAGATACCAAACCTAATGCACAGTACGCAACATGAATCACTATTCAACCATACGTGTAAATGAGGAACGTACCAATCGGACATGACGAGCCCCTCAAAGCCCCACTCGCGGCGTAGGATATCTTGCAAGAGATGCTTATTCTCAGAGGCGTGGGTGCCATTGACACGGTTGTACCTAAAATATAACCATGAAGATCAGTACGTGTCGAAGTTCTTCTCCTGTGCTCCAGGAGAAGCACAGTATTTAAAATTGAAATGCGAACGTACGAAGTCATGAAACACCACGGCTTCGCATATTTCTGGGCAAGCATGAACGGCATGAGGTAGATCTCGCGAAGCGCACGTTCGCTTAGGATCGAGTCGTATGCCATACGATCGTCTTCTTTGTCATTGCACCTATATTAGTCCCGAGTTAACAAGAACGGTGATCGGAATCGGATGATGGGACATACACGAAATGCTTGATTGTAGTTCCAATACCGCCTGTTTGAACACCTTTAACGTATGCGGCCGCAATGAGACCAGATAGAAGTGGGTCCTCTGAGAAACTCTCGAAGGCCTGAACAATGGAGGACAAAATTAGATGAGATCAGAGGTATCATTTTGGAGATGGGACTTACACGGCCACCTAGAGGGTTCTGTAGTCGGTTCGGCAGTCATGAATGGGTGCACATGAAATGATGGTAAGAGCAGACATACGCGTTGGATGTTACATGTCGGGGCAAGAATCACAGGCGCAGCTCTGAGCTTGGCCTCGCTTGCGAGTAACTTCAAACCAACTTCCTCGATCAGTTCCGTGTCCCAGGTAGCTCCAAGCGCGGTGGAAGAAGGCAGGCACTTGGCCGGTGTACTCATGAAGAAGTGATTGCCTCTGATACCTGCATATATGCGTCTGAATCATGGCGTTTTTAATCGAGCAGCGAATGTGACATACCGTTAGGGCCATCGCTAACTTTTACAGCGGGTATCCCAAGGCGGGCAATCTCATGTGTGTGCCAGAAGCCAACACCAGCGGTGAGGAGGATAGCCTCGTCCGTAGTGAGCTTCTCGACGATATCATCCACGTCTGCATTTGCGAAATCTGACCACGGCATGATGGGTTTTGAGTCCAAGTGAAATCTGGATTGTAACGACGCGCAGATAGTCTAGCTTCTCACAGGTCTGTGAGTGCGACAGGGATGAAAGATAGGAATGAGCAGGACTTGTCTCTTCTCCGCACTCGCATATTGCTCTCATATATACTGTTCACCATCACTATCAAGTCCACACGTGACATTTCCGAGAATTCTCCGATACCGAAAATTCGCCGTGTCTCTTATGGAGCGAGTCTGGAGTAGCAGTGAAAACTGCCAAGTCGGTCGTTGGTTTGATAGGGTTGATATTGCAATTTTGGGGATGCGTCGATATTGGATAATGGTTCTGGATCATGATAGGATATGCGATATTCCGAATGGGGAGTCCTTGGGAGCTTTCGATGGGTCGGCGGAAGAACACCATTATGCTGGAAACAAAGACCGCGAGAGATGGGGGATACGGCGACCGCCGGTGGTAATATTGTGGGGATTTGTATTCCCAAGAAGTTTATGCTGTGGGGCAGGTGATCCGGACCGTCTTCGTTCAAGGGTTCGCATACTAAGGTTTTTGATAAAAGATAACTGCAAGGAGACAGTAGTAACACGTGCAGAGCGCAGCACACTCATGTGGTCAATAGCTGTGATTAATATCAGCACCGACAAATTCAGAATAGGTCCATGCGTACCACACATGTGACTTCGAGCAGCATGAGCATGGGCAATTGCTAAGCTTTGCCCGGTTACGCGAGTTGATTTCTTGACCACGTGACACAACGACGCGTCCAGTCACTCCGCACAAACTATATCACACACATCCATGATTCCATCACCCGTTAGCACCGCCAACATGCTACGTGTACCAGCGGTACAGCCTAAATCATCTTCACATTCACGCAGCGAACCCCCTTCTCCATCCGAGTTCCTGCAACCATCCTCCTCTGGCGGTCTCACAAAGCCATATCGTCAACCTTCAGCATCACGCGGCACTCCATTAATGAACGCTCGTGCGCTTTCAGGATCCGCAGTCCCCACAAAATCGCGCCCTGAAAAACGTCCTAGACCATCAGCCCCACTTCCAACTACCAACAGCAGTCAAACCACCCGCGTCCGGCCAATGCGAACACCAACACCGCCCCCGGAAAAGGTATGTCTACCCGCCAGCCTTCTATGTTCCGGAGAAGAAACATGCTGACTCGTCTTGCACAAGCCACTGATAGCCATTCTTCCCCCACCCCTCCCAAAATCCCTTCATGCATTGAATTCCCATCCTCCCGCTATATTCTCAGGCAACTTCGACCTCTATGGCATGTACCTCCCCTTTCTCGTCAAAGCCTACCTCCCGCCGGGCAGCACATCCCCCGACTACGCCGCAGTCTACGACACGATCCTCGCTTACCAGTCCAAGCACGACTATACCGCACGATGCTTTCTTTCGCTCAGCTCTGACACAGGTAGAGCAGAAAGCGTTTCCATATTCGATCCCATGATGGAGCGCCCTTTTGATGTGCTGATAAGCAACTTGAAACATCGTGCAGAACTCACGTTCACCTCGAGCGAACGTGCTTCTTTCCTGGCCCCTGAACATAGTCCTGTGTCACCGGGCGTCATTGGTCAAGCGGGGCTCCCTCCTCAATGTGGAGTCAAGAACGCAAAGGGAATATGGAAGATGAAGCGCGTGTGGGTTGGGGAGGGCGTGGTAGGGGAGTGTGAGAATGTTGGTGATGGAACAACGATCGATTGCGTTGGTGAGGCAGCAGACTCCTCGACGAAAGCGAATGCAGGAAAAAAGGCGAGCAAAGCTGTGAAAAAGGAACTTTTTGAAGGCTTCTTCTCCTTCAGCGTCAGCTACGACCAGATGTACAGGAAAGCAGGTCACGGGAGTGGGTCGACTTGTCGGTTTGCGTTTTGGGGTGTCAGAGCGATGAAGGATAATACGGGGAAGGAGATTGGACTTGGGCCCGGGAAGGGAATTGGAGCGGGAATGAGGAGGGCTGGACATTAGAGTTTGTTCGTACGTATACCCCATGTCTTGAGTTTTCCTGAGGCCTGCAACTCCAGTTACAAATAGCGTAACAAAATATCTTGTGCATAGATCAAATATCGATACTTCTGGCTTGTTATATATGTCTCATCGCAGCAAGGAAGTACTCTGGATTATAGAATATTGCAGCTAAAGGTCAATTATTTCCTTATCTTGCACAATGCGTAGTCACCACATACCTATTCCACAGCGACAAGGGGCCTGCATAAGATAAATCCTCGCTGCACTGGAAATATGTCAATTATACCCTCCCCAGTCTTTGCTAAACACTCGCTGTAACACTTATTCTCCTTGAGATGGATGTGAATTGCATAAAACGGCGTCGCAAAGTTGTCAATTCAGGAAACTGCCTGAATCAATTAGCATGTACTAGTACGCCTCGAATATATAAACTCACCTCTTCCAAGTCCACCTCCCTCTCCAGTTCCTACACAACCTCCAGTGCACTGATCAGAATAAACTGATCGAGCAAACACCCCCCCCCCCCCCCCTCTACTCTGCTTCCCTTAGCGGCCTAGCAAAGTCAAGCACGAATCACATAATGGTAATTTCCGACTGCGGTCGTTTCGGTCATATTCTTCAAGAACAGTCATTTCTACGACCAACGAGCTCAACTTGTGGAGTCCATTGCCTAGACGCACGTTCCTTAGAACGATGTACTTTCCGTGTGTTTGCTTCGTAGTCTGTATGGTACGGACTAAAGTGATCACTGTCGGTTAGTGCGATCTTGTCGATTTAGTTGCTTTGGACATGTTTATAGTTCATGATTGACTTGGACATACCTCATAGGAGTTCCGATCTTTGATCCACCGAGCTAACATGCATGTCTGATTTACACGGCTTGCTTGTTTCGGGAAACGGCAAAACGCTAAGTAAACGAAGCACACATTTCCTGACAGTGATGCCGAAGATTAATAGTACTCCAAGCTTCAAGTCCGTGTCTTCACAAAAAGAATCCAATGACGCACACCACTGATGATTTATCCGTACAATGCACAATGCGCGGCTTATTGCCGATATGCTGATCTATAACTTCATGCAGACTTGAATATCTCTCCATGCTTCCCCTTTGTGTAGAACTTGTCCATCCTCGTGATAATGGTATCCAGGCCAGTGATCCAATCATTGAGCTGCTTGTCAAGCACCTCCTGCGGGCACGGCTCTCCATTCGGGTTAGCGGCAAGCTTCTCGTAGAAGCTCTTGCGAGGCGGGCAATATCCAATCGCAGTCTACATCACAACGTTAGAATAAAACCATGGATCGTGTGAGCAATATTTGACGAACGTTGAACATCAAGCCTGCCGCTCTCATGATAGCTCCCTGTATGCTGAATATTCCAGAACCACGGTGAATAGGCCCGAGGGTGACATTATATCCCTTCGTGAAGGCGACTTTGAGATCCTCTGATGGGTTGCTCTGTGCTTGCTGAAGGGATTTGCCTGTGAACGCCAGGGACCGAAGCAGCCACATGAGGCCCTCTGTTGCGCTTCCCACTTTGTTGCTTTTCTCAGTTGGTCACCAATACCTCCAACGTTCCGGACTGTGAGGGAGTCGCATTGTGCCGTTCACGAACTTTCTGGTAGAAGAGTTGGATGAGCAGTTTGATCGATGATCGCTTGCCTGGGAATACCCACTGTGATGTTACCCTGGATGTCAGTTGATGACGGGCGAGAACGCCCCGGAACCAACGGCGCTCATAAGGCTAGGTAAGTTCCTCTGTATGCTGTGAATCAGATGATGCAGTGAATGGTGTAGCGATACGCACTGAGCATGCGAACGACACCGTCACCAGCTTCGAGGAATTCGACAGTGTTGACGCCATCGTCGGTGATGGGCACATCTTTAAACGACTGTGAAATGGATTCATCGGGTGAACCATCGCCAACGTGAGCCTTGGGCTTACCTTGACTGTTTCAAGGAAGGGTGCCATCGTGGAGGATCGAAAATGAAATTGAGTTGCTAACCCTAACCCCACGTCCTATTGTTCATCATATTATTTGCATGTGATGTCGGATCCAGAGGCTAAATTACTACATTACAGACTAGTTCTATACGTTAACACATAAGTAGGACGATGTGTCGGGCAACTTGTGCGCGAGCACGCCCGCCGACCAAGTAGGTGACGTGGTGTCGATCAGGAAAGTCTAATGAAAGTAATAACCGCCCTGAACAAAGACTTCCTGGTAACGAACCAGCCCAAACCAGCCTCCCATTTTCACCTTCGACTGACTCTGATGAGCGTCGTTGAGTATCCAAATTTCATCAGCTTGTTCGAGAGTTCCTCTTTTCCACTGGGATAGACTCACAAAATGTTATATCCTGATGCAGAGAAAACTATGCTAATCAATTTCACTGGACAAGGATCGAGCTCGCTGAAGGCCAGGACTCGTGTTGCATGTTTATATCAGGTAAGGACCAGTACGTGTAGAATGGGGTGACCAGCGAAGGAGTGCGCGTCCTTAATCCAATCTGGGAGTCGTTTAAGCGGAAGAGGGAGAATCTTCTAGCACTGCAGCTGGAGGCGCTTGCAATCCGTAACCTAGGAGCGACTTCGATGATGTGACTAATGCTAGTGCATACTCGTTAAGGCCAAGGTCTTGATGAAGTTCGAAAAAGTACTAGTAGGCTGGCAGGGTAATTCGCATACAGAAGCACGAGGCTACATAGGTTTCAATCGGCAATTGGAAGGTTATTACAGGCCCGGGTGTGCATGCATGCTGCCGCGCGGCATTCAACCTGCCGTGACGAACAGAAGTCAGATTACGTAATGTATTACCAACAATGCTGTAGATGCTTCTCTTCAATTGAAACTTTGACTGCAGCTAAACGCCTACGATAACGTTGCTGTGCTGGTTCTCCAGCGTTCAAATTTTATGTTTCATCACACGTGTCAAAAATTTACCCAAAAGCAGGTAGCCGTCCTCCTGGCGTGACCTTTTTGGCTCATTGACTCGGACAGGTATGTCATTAGATGATCTATCGATTGGTTGCACAGGAACTTTACTAAGTGCAAGCGCTAGCCGTTATGTCACACATTCTTCATCGAACTTCATCGGTAACTTGCGTTATACTCGTCCGAGGGGTGTGCTTATCATCCGAGTCTAACTGTTATCTGTCCTTTAGGGTGAACGCTTCTGTACTTATACCCCAGTTCTATTTGCCATTCGATGTATCACTTGGACCCACACTCTCATCCAAGACCAATAAAGATGCTACCACACAACATTGTTTTCAAAACCCTCCTCCGAGAGATCCCAGAGGCGGAACTCAGGAGAACTCAGAATACTCCTCATTTCACGGGTGGCTTTGGTGATGTCTGGAAATGCACCTGGCCCACCAGTAATCCCCCTCTCACAGTGAGCCCAACTTCAAGCACGCACGCACACACATTGATTTGCCTGAAATTTCTAGGTTGCAATCAAGGTAGTGAGGGTCGCTGACTCCGATAAGACGGCATCGGTGGAAAGGACTGCACTGGTAAGATCTCACGTTACAACATATTAATGTCACTTGCATATTTCTGGTTGACAGAGTATACGACGTGAGGCCTATGTCTGGGCCAACTTGGAAGATGACCATGTCCTTCCGCTTCACGGAATTACAACTGGTTTCGGAGTCTTACCAGCGTTTGTTTCATCATGGATGACAAACGGGTCTCTCGAAAACTACCTGAAAGACGCACCTACTCTTTCGACATCCCAGAAGCTGGACATGGTAAGCGCTTGTGTTTGAAACGACCATCTGAATCTCAAGCAAAGCAGTCACGCCAGATAGCATCCGGTCTCAAGTATTGTGCGTGGTTTCTATTTTTCCACGCTTCATGCAGTTTGAAATAGCCCATTAGTGCATGAAAAGGGCATTGTCCATGGCGATTTGACACCGGTAGATTTATTATCGTTTACAAAACTATGCTTGAGAGATGACGATATCATGAATTCAGACCAACGTACTCATCGACAGTGACAAGAAGCTTCTCCTCTCAGACTTCGGTCTCTCAATGGTCCTCGCAGAATCGGGAAACCCCACATTCAACTCCTATCACGCGGGTAACGTGCGTTGGATGGCCCCCGAAATGGTTGAGGAGCTGGCAAGGCCAACAATGCCTGCAGACGTATATTCTCATGGTTGTATTGTGCTTCAGGTCAGTATATTGTTTCGCTCATTGAGATAGGTGCATGTCTGACACACCGAAGCTACTTTGTGGTGAACAACCTTACTCCTGGGCGGCGCAGGCGATTCACGTGATAACGGCGATGTTGAGAGGAAGAAAGCCCTTTGGCCCGCTCACAGACGTTGATGAAGACCATAAGAAGTATTGGCTGAAATGTCTCTCCGCCGAATGCCAGGATCGACCTGAAGTCACAGGAATCGTAGCATTCATAGAAACCGAGCTGCAGAAGCTTCGATGACGAGTAATTATAGTCAACACTTTCCATGCGGCTGCTACAAATACGTTGTCCGTATCGATTTACGACCTCGCGACTTACTCATACCTTTATTCACCTTTGTACTCGTAACCCTGCTTTAAAGTTTGTGTTTGGAGCTTATCAAATATTGTCTTCCTAAACATGCGCGCCTGCCAAGTGTGACCTTCATATAAGGTGGTGGTAGAAGTTAGCCCTGTTCAGTCGCTAAGGTATTATTCATATGGGAGCGTGCCCCTTCCTCCTTTTTCCCACGGTTTTTTTTTTTTTTCAAAATCTCTATTTCATGTTTATTCTTCATTTGTCCTTTTCATGTTTCTCATTTTGACTCCCCACCCCCTCAAACTGCCTACGTACATCGACATGTCCGCATCACATGCTCGGGGCCAAGATGTGATCTTACAAAGGATTATGTTTGCAGACATTTGGCCAGCATTGACCCCATCACGTCAAACACAACCTCACCCATTTTCGGCTTCCAAATGGCAACTGGCAACGTTGACAAGGGGGGCATAACTTGGGGTTTCATCGGAAAAGTTCCCACGGTCAAGGTGCTTTCTTGAACCATCCCACTTTCAAGTATTTTGCTTATCAATTTATCGCTTGCCTAACATCTTGACCTATTGATATATCGCAAGACCATGGAATAGACTTTCCTTGACCAAGGGCTAAACCTTTGATTTTCATCAGAAAATGTTCCATGGTCAAGTAAGCAAAATGCAAAAATTCACCAAGTCTTGTGATGTGACTTGCAAAAGTGTTCTGTACCCTACCCCCTATGTTGCATTGCCCCTGGGGAGGAGCAGTCACACAAACAAACAAAAAAGCAGTCTTATATTATTATACATATATAAACTAAACTACTACTTATATATAAAGGGGGAGCTATTGTGGTGTGGCGGTGAAGCTGCCTATCATATTGGGTGATGTTTTGGGGTGTTGTGGGGGTTATTCCCACAGTAGGTGGCTAAAAATGCGAAAATTGCGGAGTGTGGGAATAATGTGGGAAGGCCTAATATGAGGAGGTGACAAAAATAGAATATGTTTTTTGTGAATTATGTACTGCCTGGTATGACAAATAGCTGAGTTTCAAAAATGCCAAAAAATGCGGCAGTGTATAATTACCATAATGTTATATAAGCAGAACAGTGGGTACAGTGAGATAATGATTGTATGACTGCCTCAGTTGATATTACATCTCGTATATCGTCTGTTGACATGCACAAAACCTGTTTTGTACATGAACATGGCAAATATCTGGCTTATAATACCTTTCACAATAGCCTATGGTTCTACCCCAGAATTTTCTATGCGGCATTCGTATTTTAACTGTTTAAAATAATACTTATCCTTCTGGAAGATTGCCTTCAAACTTGTAATTTGTCAATTAGTCAGCAGTTTCTCACACCTCCTATAATTTGCTCATGCATTTTCACATATTCTAGGTATGTTTTGTGTGATGTTCTGACATATTCACATACGCGGGTTTTTCATTTTTATGGTACTGAGAGGAAAGTTTGAGAGACTTCAAACTTCATTACACAATCAGTCTCATGTGACTTGGTGGCACATCATGACACCCATGCAAAGCTTCATCATAACAAATATGCAAGACCAACATTATGGTATTCAACAAGTTAACATTCAGACAGTGAGAGGCAGTGTACATAGCTTTGTATCACAGGTTAGCATAGCCATTAATGTTAATTTGAAAGATTCTGGAATATTCTATTAGCCAAGTTACAGAAAGCCCATTTCCATATTATCTAAGCTTGAGTGTGAATAAGTGAGTGGAGAATAAGAAGAGTGTTCATAAAGCTCTTTTTTAAATTCTCACCTCTAAGATACTAAGTGACACACTGAGTGAAATATTAGGTTATTTCATTCCACTTTTGACACTGTTTCCCACGACATACAGAAGCATATTTGAGGCCACCATTGAGCCATACTTTTTACACTAGCTGGTACATGGTTATCAGTCATCTAGTGCAGATATATTCCAGTTCTCTTTTAGACACAGAAAATCTATTCTGTGGGGAGAATATACATATTTTCATCAGCAAGGGAAGACAAATAAGACTAACAGTCAGTCACTAATATTAAGAAACTTGGCCCACTTAAGACTACATCAAGAGGGTGTACTCTGTTCTGTCCTGTGTCACACTCATTGTATAGTGCCTGAGCAGCAGAGAGTAGGTTTCAAAGCCACATATTAGTTCGGGCTGATCCGTATTTAGAGGCTTAGTTTGATCTCCAATTGGTTTGTGAAGATAGGGAGTATCATTATAGAATTATCGCATAGTCGTACATCTGTATTCATTGAAGTCATAGCACTGCATTGTGCTGTGGAAACAACAATCTTGCTGGGTGGCCAAGAAAAGGTTGGGTCAAGCTAATGCCTAGCTGCTATGTCTATACAGACGTGTTCGACCCTAAAGGGATTTGCTACTAGAACGATGATGGATATGTGCGACCCGAGGGCGCGTTAAGCGCAGGAAAATAGCGGACAAGGTATGCGCGAGGTGTGGGGATGTATCCAAAGGTATCCAAAGCGTGGGAACGCGTGGCCGAAGGTGCGGAAAGTGCGGGAAAGTGCAGACAAGGTATAGGGAAGTCAAGGAACGAGGTTCGGAGAGCATGAGGGCAAAGGTATATTGCAAGGTAAGGAAAGTCTAGGTATAGGGAGGTATAAGGAACCTAATAGGGGCTAAAAAGCGCACACTACAAGGGACTACTTTGAAGGTAAACCTATAGGGAGAGGTATCCAGTATGAGGGAAGTGTAGTAAGTAATACTAAGAAGTAGTCAACTTATACTGTCTAAACTCTCACTCGGAGAGGGAAGGGATAGGAAATATAGTAAATATGTAAGGACATATAATAAGGCTGCAACACATTTTACAAGCCTCAAGGTAAGGAAATTCACATACCAATGGAGTTTGGATGGACTATGGATAGACAAGGGACCTTCCTAATGCGTTTCCGAGGTATCCGATGCGCGGGAAAGTGCGGATAAGCGGATGCACAAAGCACGGGAAAAGCAGGTTCGGGTTCGGACAGAGGTTACTTGCTGGACAAATGATGGACAATGATAAGGAAACTCATAGTGCTCTGTACTCCTTGACACATATATGGCAATGACCCATTTGCAGCCCAGGGAGGATCCGAGTGTCACAGTGCCAGTTATTGACTTTCTTTAGGATCATAGCACTGCATCAAGCCAGTTACTGATTCTGTCCCCCCTTTAGTCACTGTGTACTTCCTTTGAGAACTCAACACACTTTTTCCACAAACAACCACATTATCGACCGTTAGTATTTGTCTGAACCATTGACCATGGTAGGATATTGAAAATTGGTGATTTTACTGTTTTCACATCCTAGTAAGACAGTGTTACCACACTGGCAGTTTCTGTCACTGCTGGACTTAGTGTTTTTGTGACAAGCTTGACTCGGAAGGAGTTGAAGGAGTGGCTGAAACCTTAAATCATCGGTGGTACATACAGTAGATATTTTTACATGTATGCTACATGTTTGCAACCGATTCACTGTGCTACAAGCTGCCGAAAATCCTATAGTCACAGAGTCAGGTGCTCGGATTGGACCAACTCTACACACTGTATTGGCTATATATTGATGCTTCTAATTAGAGCCCTTAGTACATGGGAGTCACACATGAATTTGCTAGGCACTTTGCTAGTAGTACTTATGTATGTACAAATCCTCATCTGACTCGTGAATTAGTAATGAGTTTGGGAGTCATTGAGCTTGTTGTCCTGGGACATGTTTCTCCTTCAAGTTTTACAAGTCTCGCATAGTAAAGCATTGAAAATTAGTGCCATATTTACCAGTTACCATTTTCTTTCTAAACTCATTCTTTTAGACTTATGGTCATCAGCACAAACAGTGGTATCTATGCTTGATTTCTACAAGACATAATGATGGGGGATGGTTATCAGTCCAATGAGGATGGCTCCGGCTTACACTCACCCATATTCAGGGCTCAATTTCCTTAGCTGGACGGATACAGTAAGTCAGACCTATTGTCTTTTCAAAACAATTTTAATTATCATTTCACATGTTGTCCACAACAAAGTCCACTATTATCAAGATCAACTAGATATACAACATGCAGTAGGCATCCTAGCCTCTCAGTTTGATTACACCAATATCAACATCTACCTGCACCCTCACCTTCTTGAAACCTTTTCAAATTTTCATTCAAATCAGAATCTTCACCACCATAATTCTTACCAGTCTGAGTTTCTTCTTCCGCAAAGAAATCACCTTGGCCTTGACACACCACCCCATGCCTACCCTATCACTTGTCTTCCACCCCCTCCCAATTCACAGTGCTGCCATCAAATTGTTCTACCAAAGCCCCTGAAACCAAAAATATTTTGCAAGGACTTGCACACACCATCTTACTCAGATGGTTGCTCAGCACAACCCCATGCAATACAAACTCCAGAGAGCACTCAATCTTCTGTTCTAATATCAGAGTCAACCCTCTCAACCACAGCCAGCGAGCCCCTTCAGTGACAAATTCCATATCATATGGGCCAGCGGATTATGGGCCCATGTTGTGTATATCCTTGATGATGACGGATGGGCCGGGAAACATATTATTTCCAATGGAGATGGGTGGGCCCATGTATGCCAATGATATATATATCCTTGATGTTGACGGATGGGCCGGGGGAATATGATCATTCATGGAGATGGGTGGGCCCATCTGGGTAATATGTAGAGTAGGATATTATAGACAGCTGGGCTGAAGAGAGATGTAAGGCAAATATTGTTATATAGACGGGTGGGCCGACGGGGGTGTATTACATATATGGGTGGGCCGAGGTAGGGGAATATTACATAGATGGGTGGGCTGACGTGGGGTGTATTACATATATGGGTGGGCCGACGAAAGGGATATCATCATTCTTCTGATAGTGGGATGGTGCGCTTTGATGGAGAAGTGCTGGAGGGTGGTCAGAGATTGATCAGTAGTTCATATACTTAATACTGTTCACATTATGTCAATCTGCGGATCCCCATCAGACAATGGAAGCTTGCAGAATGAGTATTAGAGAATGAGATCCTCATTGCAAAATACTACTATATTAAAACATTTTTCTGGGAGCGCAGAAACATGTCAGAATCAACAACATCAACAAGAAAGAAGTCTCGATGAGGATTGGCATAATCTGGAATGAGCAAAGCACCACAAATGATTGAATGAATGGAAAGGAACTCTGAAGATGCTGCAGGCCATGCATGCAGCCGAGTAAAGCGCAGGTCCTGATCAATGGCAAGCCGTGGGCCAATCAGAGCATCCATTGGAAGCACGAGAGCGAGATCCAAATGTCAGTCGCCAACAGTATACTTGAACATGAACAAGATTTGTGCAAATATATTTTTGGTGTTGCCGTTCTTGTTGTGAGTATGAATTAGTGCGCAATCATGGCGCTCATGCCCATGGAAGCTTGGACTGCAATGGAGATAGTCTGTTGCAAGCTTCCAGTCAACGATGGACTCGTAGTGTACCTTGAGGTAGCGATATTCTTGTAGCTGCAAGAAATGTAGTTCAATTAGCATCACAGGAAAATAAAATAAAATTGAATTAACCTTGTCCTGAGCTGCCGGCCTCAACCATGTCATCCCATCAGGCAATGGTATGTTGTGGGCAGGAAGGAATTCATTGATGAATATCAAAAATTTCTTGCAAAATTGGTCAAAAGTGCACAATGAGCTGTTTGCTTGCTCCACATCAGCAAAACTCATAGGGTGTTGAGGAGAACCGAGATAGATATGGCCCTGAAATGATGTGCCAATGTTTTCGGTGTCCTCAGGGTCATTGATGTCATCTGGATCATTGTCATCAGTGTCCTTGAGTTTCCGCAGATGCTGTTCATCAAGCTGGGCAATAAGCTTGGAAACAAGGGTCCTGTGGTCCAATTAATGATAATGATAAAATGAATTATACCTGATTTGCAATGTCCTTGTGGTTTGTCTGGCGTAAATACATCTGTTTGAGTGGTCCATGTTGCTTTTCATTGGGACGAGTGCTGAAGTTCCAAGCAGTGCCTTTCTCCCATATGTCATGAAATATATGCTTCCCAGCATGTACCTTTGAGAAGTTTCAGTTCTTGGTTGAATCGCCTGCAACATTGACATATTCCTGTATTACTGTAATTAGATGAGCAATGGATGATGGTGTGCAGGCTGCTGAGGCAGGTATAGGGCAGGATCTAGGATGATGACATGAGCTTGGGTGCCTTAAAGAAGTGGAATAGTACCTACAACACCTGCCAGACACTTGGATTACTGGCTATAACCGCCCAGTGATGTCGACGGTGTAGAGTAAGAGTGGAAGGGGCGTGGGAAGCCGTCATTGGGTGAAACTCAGGTAAGTCTGGAAGGTCACGGGATGTCTCGTATGTGCAGGGAGGGCGGGGAACAAGTAGGTGGTACTAGCTATAAGGTAGAAAGGTATTTGGGGCAATATTTAATGCTGGTGTTGACGGATTACTGCAACCAAGCCTAGTTAGGCTTGGCAATATGCGTAATCACCAAGCTTAATAAGGCTTACTTATTGGGAAGGCCAGGTGGCCACACTGTACAGAATCTCACAGACACTCCAGTGACTGCCTCATGCACAGAATTTGTGCACAAATTCAGGTGTCACTCTGCACAGAGGCTTACAGACCTCCTTGTACACAAAACTCAGCCAGATATGCAGTAGCATAATAGATCATATTGATAATAGAATGATAAGCGAGATAACAAAATACAGTAAACAGATGTAGGAAACAGAAATACTTGGACACGTGAATATGAAGCCTCAGTCAAGAATGATCTGCAGGTGGTCATGTTGAGCCCCCACAGCTCCGTCGACCCTCAAACTTGCGGTCCTGCATGGTTGAAATTAGTATCAAATAAGACACACAAAAGCAACATTCTCGCCATCCAGCTTCAGCCCACTCTTGCAGTTGCACCAATAACCTAGGGCCATGATACAGATCCTGAAGGATGTCCTTGAGCATTTGGACCATTTTGGAGTAGATAGGGCTGTATTCCCTCGCAGTAAACTTTGGGTAATATTTTCTGTGGCCATTCTTTGCGAGACCATTGAGAACACAGTTGTACTATAGAGAGAAAACTTGAATCAATATATTATAATGTCGAGTAGAGGTAAAAATACTACTGCTGTGCTGACCAAAGCCAGACATGACACAGGCAATTGGTTGTGGAATATGTCTGGTTGCCTGTGTGCGATTCGGTAAGGTCCTGTGTAAAAGAAGATGATGACAGCGTCACAAAGTGCGGAATGAGCAAACTTCCTTGTTTTACCCTAGAAAGATTCCCTGAGAATAGACCCTGTCAGCGCAAGATCACTTACATATTCATCTAATTCAAAGCATAGGAAGAGTGACCCTTCCAGTAAGTCTGCAGCAGTGTGTTCTACCCACTCTGCACGTTCTTAGATGGGGACCGAAGGCGGGGAATGAGCGAGTATGATTGGGGCGCAAGGCTCATAACGTATTTCTTCAAGTCGGATCGCCAGGTTGCAAGATCATTGTACAACTGTAGTATAGATCTGAATCAATGAGAGCAGCGGGAATGTGAGTTTTATGCCTACCAGCCGAGCCATGTTAGATTTCTGTTGTGGCCAAATCCCTGAATTGCGACATGAGACAGATTGGTTTGAAGAGGGAACAAATGCTTATTGGCTTCAAATTGTTTACCATCCTGGTCCCATGCAACTAAGACTGAAACAAGAACCTCACTTACAGACGACGGTAAATTGGCAACTAAAGCTGGGAAGGGATTGTCCAGGGCATGTTGCACACGACATTCTCCTTTAGCATCCTCAAGAAAACATTTCCATCGTGGACCATACCATGCTAGTTGAGTGGGCTTTGGCCCATCAAGTTTCCTGGATTGTTGGTTTTAGACCGCTGAGTTTGGTTGGTCCTCGTCAGACTCGGACTTGATGCAACAAACTCAAGGGTTGCCAGGATTGGGAAGGCGTGGCCGGCCATTCATCTTGTGATGCATCTTAATACGTTGTTGGGTGGTGACATCGTGATCTATAAGAAAAAGAGTGAGCCTCGACAAGGATGAGTTCCATCGTCTCACTGAACTTCCTGTGACTGTGGCTGCATGTGCAAGGTATCCAGAGGATCTTGAAAGGGCAAGTAACTGTCGTCACAATACTGGCAAGTCAACCCATCATACATTGAACTGTTGGAACGCTGGATGAGATGATGTGGAAGGATTAGCCGCACATGAAGACATTGGGTCTGTGCAAACCGCGTCATCTTCTCGCGGGAGATAGGAAACTCAAATTCTGGTGTACGAGGATGAGTGACTTGAGGTTGCGAAGGGAAGCTCTTGCCCAGAAAATCCTGTGATTAGTATTAGTAAGATTGTTTGAAAGACAAGGCAGACTGATCCTGGTAGTTTGCCTCTGAGCACGCAGGAGAGGTCACAAACACATTAGCCTGGATGTCCAGTGTGATGTCCACCAACCTCTCCCCAGCCAAGCTGCTGGTGACTGCATCTCCTTCTCCTCCTTCTCCTTCTGTTCGTCTTCCTCGTTGTGTTGTCATCTTTGTCATCTTTGTCATCAGAACCAATGAATCCTTGCACAGGATGTCACACATGTTCTGGTCCAGAAAGAGCCAGTTGGCGGTGCAACTGAATTAGCTACACTAGGACCAGTTACAGTTTATGAGTTTGCTTCCCAACAACTTTCCTCCCAACAGTGTTTAGACCTGGGTCAGGTAGGGACAGGCAGTGGTGTGCATAGCAAACCTGATCTTCCCTCCGCTGGACAGAACAAGAGATTTAGAGGCTGTAAGGGTTCCACGGTACTGACATCTGCGCGTGAGGTGTTAGGAACATTTGTAGTAGCTGATGACTATATGGCGGGGTGGCAACCTATATGCGAACGATCCACATAAATAAATAGAAATACAACTATGCATCAGACCTTTGGACGACGACCTCAGCCCTTGCTGTGAGGTGGTTCTGGAGCCTGAGGGTTGACGGGAACAGTAGAATCAAGGGATATAGAGCCCTTAGGTTGGTGTACCCAAGACAGAGCTTCTAACAATGCTCCAATCTTCTCCAATTGAGCCTTCCCACCTCCCGTTCCTGCATTGGCGCGGCCAGAATGTCTATCAGGTTCATCAGTGCTTATTCTATCTAGACGGAGTGACATGAGTGGCGTGCCAGATGTCTTGACAGGTTCTGCTGCTCGGGGCTTCTTAGACTGACGCTTAGACACCTCCAAACCTTTGCGCTTGGTCTGTTTCTTCTTGGGGCTGGCAACAACACGAGGAGGCATGATGAGCTACAGAGAATTTGAGCAGAGAGACTCTGAGAGAGGAATAACTGATGAGCAAATCCAGACTCACCAAATATTTTATATAAGGACACCTTGAGGTTGAAAGGAATCACAGGTTTTCCCTAAGCAAATGACATGGTATGAAACAATTTGTCTTGAAACATCATGCATTTTCTATGCGAGTAAGCAAGGAAAATATGTCCCCAACCGCTGCATGCCTACTAAGCGATTCAATTTCTAAGTTAGCGAGGCTAACGTAGAATATAGTCTACATGTGAGAAAATGTTGTGGCGCAGCAACTTTCTTCTCGAACCACATCAGCTTCTGAACGTCATGGACAATCTCCAATCCTAACTCTATTGTTTTCTGCTCACATTTCCTTAAAATGGCTCCTTTATTAGACAACCCAAATGACGCAGTATTACCAGATTTCAGGACAGCTGATCACACAACAGCCAGGGCTAGACTCGTAGCCAACAGTGTCGGCAATGATGCTCAAGCAGCAGAGCTTTTAGCAACCTTGTGGACGTTAAACAACAATACAGCCAGAGAGCTCTGGGCAGAGCAAATTGAAGAAGCTGCTAGAGATGCCAAAGAAGTCTGAAGGCTAGCAATGGAAAAAGAATGAGACCAACAGCAAACCATCGCGGATGAACAAGAAGCAGCTCACAAAGAGGAACAAAAGAAAAACAAGTCCAAATTCGTTCCTGTAGGCAACTCCAAGGTTCCTTCCATACCAGTCATCATCCTGTCTCACTATGCCGTGCAGAAGTTGAAAGCAGGAGAGTATTGTGAGCTCTACTATTTCACTAATAAAGGCTGAAGGATGCTAAGAAGAGTCTACTCGCAA